GTGAAGAGCATCATTGGGTTCGGAAATACCCGGCTCTTGAAGCTGCGTTGCGTGGAAAGTCTGTGCAGAAGTCTGACGGATCCCCTGTGCGTGCCATTGCAGCGCCATAAGTTTTCTCCCTCTCTCTATGCCTTCAAGGGATTTATGGGGGTCCAATGTGTGACAGTGGGACGATGCGCCGAGTATCACGAAGTGGTAGGAGGGGGGGTGGGGGGAGGGGGGGTTTCTTAATCCTATATTAATCCTATGATAATCACTTTCAGGGCACTTGCTTATCCATGGTTAATCCTCGGCTAATCCATGGGTAATCCTAGGCCTAGGATTACTGTAGGATAAGCATAGGATTGCTGTAGGATAGTCGGGTAACGAGATATGTGTGTGAGAAAAGTAGTTGATTTTGCTCGGTTTCCGGGTGGTGTCTTGGCACTCTCCTGTGGTTTCTTGTGGGCATTCGGGCGGATGCGAAGGGTCGTGCGGAGTGTGAAAAACCTGCCCGACTTTAGTCGTGATCCCCTAATCTTTAAAATGGGCAACCTCACAAGATTCGGGTTCCGGCTTGAGGCATCCGGCCACAGGTCTTGTACGATTGATGGAAGAACCAACATCTGTAGAAGAGAGACTCTGCCACCATATGACTAAATACAGCGCTCTACTCACTACAGGTACGATGCATTCATGGTCGACACTTGTATAGCTACAAGGTCCTACGTTCCAGACCCCAAGCCCTAAACCCACAAACCCAAACCCCCCTAAACTCCAAAACCACAGACCCCAAGCCGAAAACCCCCAACCCTAAAGCCCGAACACGAATGCCTAAACCCTACATCCCAAAACCCCAAACCCTAAACCCAAGACCCAAACCCTTCCCATCACCTGAGTCCTGTGTCGGAGCTTAGGGCAGTGGGCTTCGGGTGCAAAGGTTCCGAGGTGGTAGCTAGAAGCCCTAAGCTGAGCCCTTAAGCCGCACGTGGAATCCGGAAAGCAACCGCAGGCTAAACTCAAACCTTTCCATGCGGCATCGAGCGTCCCTCGGGGAGGCTGTGCACAGGCATCGCAACAGACGGGCAAGCAGGTCAGATGTGTGTGGCGTTTTAAGGTGGCAGCTAAGCTTTGCAAGTACGAACTACAATTAAGCCCATGTTTAAGTATACGTATCCGGCCTATCCAAGTATTGTGTCGTGTAGGGCATCTACCCTGCTACCCCTGCTGAAGTTTTGCGCCGCTTTGCGGCAGGCGGCGGTTCTGCAGGGTTTGCACCCCGGCCACGGCCCCTTTTGGGCCTGACATCAGGTTCAGATGCTCTGGCACCAGAACTACTAGGTCTCGCTTCCGGGGGTGGCGCATCCTCTGGATGCAAGGGCTCGTTGCGTATCCGAGTAACCGCTAAGTCCACAGCTTCGCGGCTGGGCCTGATCGACAGTGAACTAGTTTGGATGCAGGGAAGGCAACTACGGTAGTCTTAGTCGTAAAGGATGTGTCAAAGCGATGCTTGACTTGCATGCCCGAGCGGCATTACATCTTCAGGCATCACGTGCCGATTCAATTCGAAATGCAGGTTCCATACCTTTGTGACAACTTCGTGCAGCGCTTCATTTTCGGATAAATTTCGCTGAACGCCTCCCCATTTGGCATATCTGCTGCCTCCGCCCAAGCCAGCGTCTTTGGGAACTTGGCTGAAAAGCTCGAATCAGGTAGCTCAAGCTGCAGAGATTTCAGTAGCACGGCCACGAGGCAAGCTTAAGCTCTTGAAAACCCTAAGTACACTAGTTTGGACACACAGGCTTAATTTTGCCAGGCAGCCGGGGTAGAATGCTTGGTATGACTGAGAAGCAGGATTGCGCTGTATGTAGCACTCCTTCAGCCTGCCCTTTCCCGGAAGCAAGTTTTGCCTGAGATGTCCAGCCGGAAACAAAACAAAACAACACCAGTGCAACCAAACAACAGTTTCGGTTTTTTCAGTGGAATATGAAGTCCGAGTCGCAGGGACTTCGGTGTGAAGTGTTTTCTCGGCGCGTTGGGAGCTGAGCCCTCACCTCACCACGGACGAGCACAGGTCAATGAATCAATGAAGAAACCCGTGACTTGTGCCCACCTCGGCCAGCTGCAACAGCTTGTCGGACATGTTTATCCAACTTACATTTCTCCGCCATGGTCTTCAAACCTGCGAATTTCTCTTGATTCTCAGGATCGAGGGCTTTGACTCCGGCCAGAATCTCATCTGCACACTCTTCCGTCACCACCGCCTTCTTGCCCATCAGGCCTTGCCACATCTGCAGGTATTCCGGGCTCTCCTCTTCGACGGTGGGGAACAGTTTCTTGAGCAAAGCCCTCACTCTGTCTCCCTTCCGAATACTTCTTTTGCCATTCTTGCCCACAGGTCCTGTACCTGTGGGTGTCTCTGCTTTGTTGATCACAGAGACCTTTTTCAAAGTGGTGACGTCCAGCATCACCGCGCCCGCCCTCAAAGCCGCTCGCACCAGCGGCTCCACCTCACTACTCTGTTCCAGCACGCATGTGTCTGCCCGTGCATGTGTAGGAAGGCATGCCGGGTGTAGGATTCGCACGGCGCACGCTTTCCGTGTCGCATTGTCTGCATCGGCACTGTCATGGAAAATCCAGTGTGGGCGCTGCACCTTCTCCTGTGAGAGCGGCAGTGGCACAACGAAGTGCCACTTCCCGTTCTCAGCCTTGCGCATGTCCAAAGGCACGGACTGTGCCGCCCAGCGCCGAAAGCCCAAGCAAAGGCAGGCGGAGCTCTCATCCTCGTCAAGGATCACCAGGCCCTTTGCCAGGAACACTCCTGCAGGGGCTTAGTATCCTACGAAACAAAGCTAGCAGTGCTCTCCAGGCTTGAATGCACCGGACCTGTCCACAAGTCAGGCAACCGAGCAAAGTCGTCAGAGTGGCACATTGCCAAAGTTGCGCTCGCTGCAGTCATTCTCATATCGGCAATCGTTCCCGTTGTCCCCCACTTCTCTTTCACCTGTCGGGATGGAAGCCAAAATTATGTGACTCAGATCACAAAGTTTCCCGTTTCCTAGTGACTGTCCTGCTCCAAACTGTTCAGCTCCAGACATTCCGGAACTTGTTGCGAGGGCGAAAAGTAAAGGCCAGCACGATCAGCTTTACGCAACACCGATTGTCCGTAGTCCTCCGGAGAGCATCTCACCTGCTGGTATCCATTGTTGTTGGCGCTCCGGCAGGTGGTCGCGTACAAAAATTTAGTCCACCTCAGCCAGACAAGAGTCACACCAAGGATGGTTGTGTTGTAATGATAATGCTGTCAACAAAAACAAAAAAGTAAAACCATCACACGGATCAGCTCCCACGAACCATCAGAGCAGCGAACGAGCTCCGGACGAGCTAGGTTACGTGCAGGATGCATCTCAGGGCCACTTAATTCTTGGACAACAAAGAAAGATGAAAAGCAGACCAACGACTACTCCAGGACCCCAGGGGCTTATACCAATGCAGATCAGCCGCTTGCTCATCCGCAACATTCCTTTCTGAGAACGCAATGCCAGGTGTTGGAGATGAGCAAAGACATCCTCTGCCGTCAGCTTGGAGTTGGCGGGTCCACCGAAGGCAGACATTGCGAGGATTTTCGCCTCTCGGTGCGAGCCATCGTACCTGCACTGCCTGGCTGTCTCGAGCATCTCTAAGCTGAGCTGCGACCGCCACCACCAGCAATCTTCCAGAAGGGATCGGATCTCTTTCGCGAGAGGCGATTGCGGGTGTTCCTCGATGATTCGATGGGCTGTGGCCAAGCCAACATCCAGGCTTCGAATATGCTGCATCCCGCTTTCACGTGTTTCACCCGACCCGTACACACATGCGAAGGCAAACGGAAGACAAAGTGAATACTGGCATTGGGACCACGTCCTGGTTGGGGTGACTGTCCTAGTCTTTTGCCGTGAAAACTACAAAGCAACCCCGAATACTTTTGTTGTTGCTCGCGTCCTAGCACTTGCCAGCTCCACCAGAAGCCGCCGCCACACCTCCTCCAGGAAGGCTGCCTCCTCTAGCACCCAAGGCTCATCCCACGAAGCAGGCTCTCCGCCGCCCGTGGAAGAAGAAATCCCAAGCTCGGCCAGAAACCGAGCATCGTGCATCATGCGCAACGTGGAGTGCAGCGTCCAGTACCAGGACCCCGTGACCCTAGCCGCGCTCCACGTCAGCTGTGCAGCCTGCGTGCAGCACACATGCCCTTCAAACCCGTAACCATCACACTCGCTCTCTTGTCTTGTACTGAAGACACACTACACCTGCAAGACACCCAACAACAAGGCACCGGCAGCATACATGCAACACCCTTCAAGCCGTCGCACTGACACTCTTGTACTGAAGCCCGACTACACTTGAAAGACGCCGAGCAAAAACATCATTAACATGGAATCTGCAGCATGTAGGCAAGACCCTTCAGTCACACTCACACGCTCCTGTTGAAATGAAAGCAGGCTACACACAAAAGACGCCTAACAAGGAACCTGGCCCTGCTTTTGGGCTTGCAAGTTTTTCTGGTACTCCTTGGAGACAAACTCCGTCGCCAAGGCGATCATGCGGATTCTCTGCTGCAAGCCCCTGCCAGATGACTGTTGCACAAAACGATTTCGGCCACACTCGTGCCACATATAGCTTTGAGACTGAGACTCCCCGCCTATCTCGATAGAGATGCGCGCAAAGTTGAACATTGTTGCTGAACTTCTTCCGCCATTCTTGGAATTCTTGGCGGTTGGTCGGGTCATCCACGTCTGCAGCTGCATCTGCTTCCTCAGCGAGCTCCTGCAGCTCTTCATCCTCATCACGCTGCTCCTGAATCTCCGGGCTGGGGAGATTTGCTCAATTACGACTTCCCGTTCGGCCAGGTGGCTGCGGCGAGTTCAAAGAGGATTTCGGACGTGATTGTCCACTCACGAGCTAGGCTGAGGCACCGCTCCGTGAGCCCAAACCAGCCTTTCCCGCGGACCTCGGTTTGTCGGCTGCACTGCAACTAAGCAAACTAATCTGGACCGACTCAACACGACAACGATGACATTGTGGCGCCGAGTCACATACATTCCTCTTTTCTGAACAGCATCCATTGTTGCCCATTCTTGGATGCTGCCTGGAACGGCTTCGGCTGGCACTTCACAGCCCAAATCGGAGCGCATGAGCTCGGCCATCTCTGTCAGCTTCTCTTCGTCGTACTGATACTTTTGCACAAACCGCTCTGCCATGCCCTGCTTGGAGAGCCACGTGGCTCCACCTTGAAACCTCAGGTTTGCAAAACCGAGGCAAGTAAGCATTTTAGTTATTATGCATCCCAGCGACGGTCCGTGTGCACACGCCGATAGGATTGTTGCCTTCAGCGTCGTCACAGCTTGGCCGGCCCGCGACAAAGCGTTTCCTGAGTGAAATTGCTTCGAAAACAACGACCCGGCAACCGTTAAAATTGCTGGAAAGCAACTTGACAGTCTAACAGAATCTCTAGTGAACATGCCGATTCGTTTCAGGCTGAGCGCGGCACTTGTGTCGTTCCACGATCCGTGGCAACAGTCCGGAAGAAACATGCATCTTATTTTGGTGCTCAACAGCTTCCAAGCCTTCACCCCAACCTTCTCCTGGTCCGCTGCCTGAGACGACTGTGGAGCCCTGCCCGCAGATGGTCCCGAAAGTGAACTGCATGCTTCTTGAAACTCATAAGCCTGCATGTCGAGATGCACAGACCAAGAGTGGCCGCATCTTTGCGGAAGGAGGCTCCAACTGCATGGTGCCAACTCTGTACTCCAGGCGCTCAGTGGGAACGAAGAAGGATAGATCACTGCCAGTGCAGCTCTTGAAGTTGGAATTGATGGCACGGATCATGACCTCTGGTGTCCGCACTCAAAATCAAGACGCATCAACAGACTCCACAGGAATCCATAGGCTGATTTTTTCACGATGTGGCCAAGGCACTTGCACGTGCTTCAAATTTCGTTTGGATTTCCGGGCCAGTGTGCCGTCCTCCTGATTTCCCGGATTACTCCTGCACCAGTGTTTCCGATTGCACAATTACGGCTGCTAAAGCAACAGCACGGACAGTCTCGCGCAACTTATGCCGTCTGTCTGTCTGACATATTCATCCACGTCACTCTTCTGTGCGCAAGCACGCAAACTTCTGCGCGTGCTCCTGATGCGTGAGGGCCTTGGGTCAGAGGCGAAAGGCTGATGTGTCTGAACAGAGTACAGGCATGCAGGGCTGTCACAGATTCGTTTCGCACGTGGCACCGGTTGCCGTGGTCCGGCACAGCTACACAAAACTCTGGCTCGTTGCCGTCGCAGGCTGCTGGAGAGCACAGCTAAGTGGAACGGTATGGTTACTTCCTTAAACCCTTCACCCATAAACCCTTAACCTCTAAACCCTTAAACCCTAAAGACCTACTGACTCGTAAGTGTTTCGCTCCTCCAACGTGCTAACGGCTAGAGTCGCAGACAGATGACGGCATGATGGCTTGCTTGGATTTCAAGCGGCACTGATCAAAATACGCTTCAGCAGCAAGAACGGATCAGACCTCATGGAAAAATACAGCCGCCCACTTCTCAGGGCTCGATCAGGTCCACCTCTGGCGCCTCCGCTTTGGTGGGGAAGGTTGGGATGCAGGGCCGGGGTCTGCAATCAGATATTAAATAACTTGTCTTTGTAAGGATCTGGAGGACAACCCAGGCCTAAGAAAACTAGGTAGCATATCACACACCTTTCCAGGTGGCAGCAGGGTGTCAACAAGGAGTCAAGGACGACAGGATGTTGTGAAATCTTTCAACCTCCAGTTCCAAGACTTGGCTCTGCACGTGCGCAGTCTTTTCTTGCAGATGCGGACTCAGGTTTCGAAGGAAAAAAAGGCCGGTGCACAATCCGGCTGGCTGGTCTTCCGAAACAGCGAGCCTAGCTAGGAACTTGCAACTTGCACTGCCCGACGCATCCTCGCACCCAGTGGAGTCACGGGGTTGGACGTGGGCTTGTGGCTGTGTAGCAGCGCGGCTGTGGTGGCGGAGGTCCTTTTGGAGCACGGGCTGTGGCTGTGTCACGGCTGCGGTGGCGGAGGTCCTTTTGGAGCACGGGCTGCGGCTGTGTAGCACGGCTGTGGTGGCGGAGGTCCTGGTGGAGCACTTGTGCGATCCATCTCAGCACTTTCCGCATCCGACGGTGGGAATGGGACATCATCGCTGCCCGCGTAGCTGGTGGTCCTGCTGCGGGGTGCCTCCTCGGCATCCTGCTGCCGTCCAGGCTCGCAAGCAGCCTCCTCTTCGGAGCTGAAGAAGATAGAGGGTAGTGGGCTGCGGCTGGCATCCTCCTGCCTCCCAAGAATGCAAGCAGCAGCATCCAACGCGCGACCAGTGCTCTTTCCGTGGTCGTCGCTGTCAGGGCTTTCCAGCATCGAGAGCGGGCTGTTGCTCGCATCCTGGTGCTCCCTAAGCTCGGAAGTAGTAGCATCCGCCTCGCGACCCCTGCCAGCGCTCTCCCCATCCTCGTCGCTGCTGAAACGCAACGGGCTCCCCTCTGGAGCCACAGGCCTTCTCATCTCGGTGTTCCCAAAGCGTATTGCTGGACGACGACGAACAGCAACCTCGTCCGAGACAGCTGTGTCGCCGGCTGGCCTCACCTCACTTGTAGATGCTGTATGTGCGGCATCGATGCTTTCCCCACTCATTGGCATGCTGCTGCCAGGTTGCCGCCGCTTGCGGTTCCGGTTCCGCCTAGGCAGGACAGCTGCCTCACTTGAGGCAGCCGGCCTCTCAGCACTATCCCGCAGTGGACTCTCGCCACCCAGCGGGGTGCCGGGTATCCGCGTAGGACGAGCCCCTTCCATTCAATCCGCCTGCAAGGGTGGCGCACGGTACCGGCACCTGGAAAACTATGCTCAGAGCCTGAGCCGCGACAGCCAATTTAATTCGTCACGGACGGAGAGCAGAACAGGGTTGCAGACATGAGCCACATGAGCGTCACTCTGAAAAACCCTCCTGTCAATATCGGACCTAAACTGATTCCCAGCCTTCAACACAACACGCAAACTGTTTCAAGACGTGCCTTGGCCGTTGGCCCACCTTTGGCCGCGGCAGCCTTCACCTCAGGAACAGTAGCTGCGAGAGCATCGTACTGACGGACGTCTGCAGCAAAGCTGGCTCAACCAGGTCCTGTGTACTAACACTAACATGCAAGCTGTTCCTTGACTTTGCCTTGGGAGCTGCCCCAGCTTTGGTCGTCGGGACGGCCGCCGGAGGCTTGGGGACAGGAGCCTTGCACGAGGGCTCCCGTCACTGGTCTAGTTCCAAAACAAACTTGTCGGCAACGGCTGTTTTCAGCTGCGTCGGAAAAGCCTAGATTTCAAATAAAAGTCCACGCGTCCAACAACAATAGTTCAACAGTTTGATCTCTCATCTCAACATAACGTGCAAACTGTTCCCTGACCTGACCTTGCCAGTTGCCCCAGCTTTGGGCGGGCCGATCGCCGGAGCCTTCGCACGAAGGCTCTCATCCCTGATCTCAGTTCCTATTCCAAGGCCGCAAGAGTTTCGAAACCGTATCCTTCACGGCAACGGCTGTGTCTAGCTATGTTTCATGGCTTCGGACTTCGGCAAGTACTTAGCAACAACAACAAAAATCAACCACAACGTTCAAGAACAAGAAGAAGAAGAACAACA